GCAAACCGCTTGAGACATCCCCACAAACTGGCCGCGAACGGGCCCGCGATATACCCCCTGGCGGCTCCCCTTAGGGGTGCTGAAGCCAGCGCCCCGCCTGAGACATCCTCACAATCTGCTATGAAAGCCAAGGATGTTGAGCATGAAAACGAGCAAACCGCCTGAGACATCCCCACGAACTGGCCGCGAACGGGCCCGTGATATACCCCCTGGCGGCTCCCCTTAGGGGTGCTGAAACCAGCGCCCCGCCTGAGACATCCTCACAATCTGCTATGAAAGCCAAGGATGTTGAGCACGAAAACGAGCAAACCGCCTGAGACATCCCCACAAACTGGCCGCGAACGGGCCTGTGATATACCCCCTGGCGGCTCCCCTTAGGGGTGCTGAAACCAGCGCCCCGCCTGAGACATCCTCACAATCTGCCGTGCGTTGAGTAACTCAAGCTATGAGAAGGTCTGACCGAGTATGAGCAAGTCTGGGTATGAGCAAGTCTGAGTATGAGTAAGTCCGACAGGAGGGGAGGACGAAGGAGGAGGAGGAGGAGAGGAGGAGACGCGCAGCGCAGGCAGGAGGAGAGGAAGTAGGAGGCGTCCATGTAATAACAAGAACCCCATCTTAGGATATGGGGAAATATATGAGAGAGAGCACGCCCACAGGGCCCAAGCAAAGGGGAGGGGGGGCTAGGCTTAAGCTACCCCCCCCTCCCTTGAGCCGCCCTTGTTGGAAGCACCCCCCCCCTCCCCCCCTTTGTTTTGCAGGGGGGGGTGGGGCTTACAGCTACCCCCCCCCTCCCCCCTTGGGCCCTCCCCGGAAGCTCCCCCCCTCCCCCCCTTTCCAAAGGGGAGGGGGTGCTTAAGCTACCCCCCCCCCCTCCCTTGGCGCCGCCCTGCTGGAAGCTACCTCCCCCCCTCCCCCCCTTTCGTGCAAAGGGGGGGGGGTGCTTGGAAGCGACCCCCCCCCCCCCCCTTTGGCCGCCCCGGAAGCTACCCCCCCCTACCCCCCTTTCCAAAGGGAGGGGTGCTTAAGCTACCCCCCCCCTCCCTTGGAGCCGCCCTGCTGGAAGCTCCCACCCCCCTCCCCCCCTTTGTGCCAAAGGGGGGGGGGGCTTGGAAGCCCCCCCCCCTTCCCCCCTTTGGCCGCCCAGCCCCCGGAGCCTCCGCCCTCCCTTTCGCCGACGATCCAAAATGAACAATCCACGATCGAGGATGGACGATCGACGATCAACGATCGACGATCGAAAATCCCAATCGAATCGCTTGCAATCGATTGCACTCCATTCCACTGCAATCCCCCTCCCCACCTCCCTCCGCTCCCTCCCCTCCCTCCCCACCCTTCGTTCCATCTCCTCCCTCCCCTCCCTCTCCTCCCCTCCCTCCCTTCCGTCCTGTCCCTCCCCTGCAATCCAATCGATTGAATCGATTGCAAGTCAACCGATTGCAATCCAATCGATTGCAATCCAATGGATTGCAATTGAATCGTTTGCAATCCAATGGATTGCAATCGATTGCAACGCAAGTGTATCATTCAACTCGTCCCGTGCCAACGCCCGGGAACGAAAAATGACCCTGGCGACGTACCCAACCCCTGCGCAAACGCGGGGCGCAAATAGTTTGGGACACTTTATAAAGGGGGGCGATGACGGAGCGAGGGTTACATATGCCTGCAGACGGAATTCGGGAGACTCGCAGGACACTGGCTTCAGGACAAGGACTAGATAAAGCTGATTAGTTGCAATCCCTGAGCAACCCTAGCCACTTCGAAATCGGGGATCTCAGATCGCAGCCCCCCAGGGATGGCGAGGTCTAATTTGGGTCCGCCCGTGGCGTCACTGTGCTGGGCCCCCCAGCAGGCCTCGAAAGTGGCGACAGTTTCACAGATCGCAGCCCCCCAGGGATGGCGAGGTCTAATTTGGGTCCGCCCGTGGCGTCACTGTGCTGGGCCCCCCAGCAGGCCTCGAAAGTGGCGACAGTTTCACAGATCGCAGCCCCCCGCAGGCAAGGCAGGAGGAGGCAAGAGGGAGACGGGACGGGAAGGAGGAAGTGGAGACCACACTGCTCTATTCAAAACGAATACCCAACCAAGGAGGGTTGGGAAAAATACTATTCCCCCCCGAAAGTTGCACGAAGTGTAATTCGGAGAACGCCAGCCCGTTGGGTTTGGCAGTGTTCGTGTAAGACGGCGGCCAGCTGGGAGAGGAGGAGGCGCCCGCAGGCGCCTGCCTCGCGCTCCCCCGCCGGCTGATGGCCGCCGCGAGGCGGCAGCCTGCGGGCGCCTCGAGCTGGCGAGGCAGGCGCCGAACTGCCGCCCGAGCTGGAGGAGCAGGGCGGCTATCCGGCCGGGGGCCAAGCCTCCCAGACCTTCTGGGCGGTCTGGCACCCGGCCAGGAGGTGTCGAGGCGGTGCCCAACCTCTCCGCCGCGTTCGCGGCCACGCACAGTGGGGGCGCGGCGGGCGGCGGCCTGCGGGAAAGGGCCCGCGCCGCGCGCCGAGCGCCCCGGAAATCCCCCCGGACTCGGGGTCTCCGGGGCCCCGCTGCCAGGAGGAGGAGGAGGAGGAGGAGGAGGAGGAGGAGGAGGAGGAGGAGGAGGAGGAGGAGG